TTAGGACTGGGTTTCACATCAATGCATTTTAGTTGGTTGTGGTTTTCCATAATGGTCTCCCTCTGTTGCAAGGAGAAGTTCCTTGATAAAAGGATGATACTACACCTATCTGTAGGTATAAAGACAAATATTTGTAAATTGGTGTAATGATTCTGCTGGCTTACTAATGTAGTTGTAGGATCTTTAATATTTATGACTTCCCTGGTCCTGAGTCATTGGCTAGGTTTCCTGTATCAGGCATGATTTTCCATTTGATTGAGTCTTATGTCTTGGAGAACTATTGATTGCCTCCAGCATATGGCATTAATGCATCTTTAGAGTTATCATACTGGTCATCATTGTGCTTCGTATGTGCCATAGCTGGTAGGTCTACTGGTTGCTTCCCTCCTTTGGAAGCTTGCATGGCAACTTCTAATACCATAAAAGCTAGTCCTCGGGGAGTAGGCTTTCAGCTCTTACCTATCTCAAGGCTTCTGGGCCCTGGGTCTAAAGTGCATGGATTCTTCAGCAATAAGAACTTCCATCACAGGGCAACAACCAAAGGCAATAACAATAGTCTTTACTGTTTGGGGAGTCTTTTGGACTACGCTGACTTCAAAAGAGGGCTTCTTATGACTTGTGTCGAGGTTTTTGTTAGATAGCCTTTGGCTCTTAGAAAATGTAATTTAAAGTATGATGCACTGGCTTACTTACATTTATTGTAAGTGTCTTTATGTAGGTAATAATTGTATTACTCTTTATGACTTTTTCAGACATCCTTACTTTGATTTTTCCTCCTCCATCTTTACAGTTATCTTCCTCCTCCTCCCTAATTAGAGATCCACCAGTTTTCCCATCTCTCCCTACAGATCACTACTCTGGTAGTTCCCCTTCCTATTGCACCTCCACCCTGGAAATGGTCCCTTTTTATTTTCCTGGTTTTTGTAGATAATTACAGGATATGTACTCACATCTGAAGATCTGGAGTGAGGTGCCTCAGAACACGCAGTGTTTGTCTTCCTGGGACTGGGTAAGTCCCAGGAGCCTTACTCCTTGGGCAAATAGAGTCCTGGTCATAATGTCCTTTCCTACGCCTTTATCATTAGGGTACTGCCTGTGTCTTCTTCTAGAAGTTTCAGTGTTTCTGGTTTAGCATGTAAGTCTTTGATTAATTTACAGCTAGTTTTTGTACAAGTTGATAGCTAAGACTGTAATTTCATTCTTCTGCATGTGAACATCCAGTTTCCCTAATACAATTTGTTGAAGATGTAATCTTTTCTTTCATCTTATGTTTTTTGGGATCTTTGTCAAATATTAAGTGGTTGAGGTTACCTGTACTTATGTTTAAGTCTTCAATTTCGTTCCATTGGTCTATGTGTCTGTTTTGGTGCCAGTAACATATTGTTTTGTTACTATGGCTCTGTAATATATGACCTGTGTTTTTTGATAGGAGAATTGAGACAACTAGTATTTAAAGTTATTGTTGAAGTGTGTGTGTGTGTGTGCGTGTGTGTGTGTGTTAATTGCAGCCATCATATCATTGATTTTTGGTGTTGCTGTTTGTTCTCAGTGGTTCTTCATGTTTTAGTAATTATGGCTTCATATTTTTTCCATGGTCTCTGTTGTGTTCATTCCTCTTTTCAGCCTGAAATATTGCTTCCTGTGTCATCTTTAGGTTTCGCTTGTTGTATCTAAATAGTTTTCAAGCTGTTAACATCATGGAAAGCTTTTCTTTCTCCTTTAACTATGAGGGATAATTTTGTTCGATACATTCATCAAGCTTGACCATCATGGTCTTTCAGGTCTTGGAATGCCGTGCTCCAGGCTCTTCTTGCATTTAAAGTTTCTATTGAAAAATCCTCTGCTATTCTGATGAGTTTTCCTTTATATATAACTTGCATCTTTCAATACACATATCTTTTGTTCTGCATACATAGTGTTTTAACTATGATAGGCCACAAAGATTCCCTTTTCTGGTCTTGTCTACTCTGTGTTTTGTGTGCTTCTTCTATCTGTGTGTGTATATTTTTCTTAGTTTGGGGAAGCTTTCTCCTATGACTGTGCTGATGGTATGCTCAAGAAGAAACAAGTATATGGTGTCAATCATAATAGAAGTGTCCAAAATGATATGGAACCAGGAGACTAAAATAATGTAGAGTTTCAAGGGAATGATTTGAGTAACAATACAGGGCTAATAACAGGTGATTGTCATGAAGAAGTGCTCAGCTGACAAATCAGTGAGCTATTTTATTTCTGAACTGCATAACTGTGGTAATGGGGGACAAGAGCTATGGAGTATTCCAAACCAAGATGCAGTAGAAGAAGAGATGTAGATAAAGCATCAGTAACCACATGAAAAGGCTAGGGCAGGTTTCTAACAAACAATAAACTGTAAAAAATAGAAAGCATTTATACACTCAGTTGTACAGTTAGCCTTTTTAAATAAAGATAACTGAGGCCCAGTTGTAGTCTTTACAGTCCAGAACTTCTCCCAGAGTGTTTGCATGGGCCTCCAGAAGTTTGAGCGTTAAGAGTTCAGCAGTTCACATTTTCATTGTTTGAAAATTTGCTAATCACTGTCATTCCAGAAGAGAAAAGATGGAAGAGGGAGATGCTGTATGTTGTAAATGGTGATAGTTCAACACTGTATCATTGAACACATTTGTTAACCTACTAAGTCAGCTGAACTGACTTAGATTGTTCACCGTTTACCATGTAATTAGGACACTGTGACTGGTACAAAAGTGACACTACAGTTTTTGTTCCATTAGAAGGGACCCTGTAGATGTGAATCCAATGAGTAGCTTTACAACCATGCACATTATGGTCAGAGGAATAAAGAAGAAATTTCTAAGTTTCTGAAAGGACAGAGAATTAAATTATGATATTTGAAAGTCTTTGAAATTATGAAATAAGCTTATGACATTCAATAATTAACTTCTCTCAGATTCTGTCTATACAAATCACAATTGTTGGACAAGTGAAAATGATTTCAATAGGAATACTGTTGCTTAATGAACCTTCTCAAGGAGCTAAGGGCTACCCATTATGTAGTGATAAGCACCCCGGACTTGATTTGCAAATTGGATTATAGTGGGCCACTTTTATGGTTCATAACAACAATGGAGCCTATGGGAACTTTTTCCTGCTATTTCATAAATTCTCTCTGGCTATTCTCTGAATATAATTCAGGCTTCTGATCTTTTATTTTGGGTTAAGTTTAGGGTCAATATTCATTACATGGAACATCTAATGAATTATAATGGGATAGGTCTAAGGAGACAGATTGCTTCAAGGTTTACAGTCAAGCCTAATAAAGACTTTCATATGTATATTTATATACTCAGTTACAGAAACTTAAGTACTGAGTCTTAAAGTAACTATATTTTTAATTAATAGCTAATTTTTATCTGACCTAAGATTTCTAGTATGTTTCTTTTTTTTTTTTTTTTTTTTTGGTTTTTACGAGACAGGGTTTCTCTGTATTGTTTTGGAGGCTATCGGTCCAGCCCGGCCTCGAACTCACAGAGATCCGCCTGCCTCTGCCTCCTGAGTGCTGGGATTAAAGTCGTGCGCCACCACCGCCCAGCGTATGTGTCTTTGTATAAAAACAATTTTTCAATTGTGGTCAAATTTTAACAGTCATTATTTATTAGCATAAATTATATTTATGTTGCTGCTTTCAATATATATTGAATATATAGACATATTACAAAATATATTTTAATAATATACTTAATAGAATTTTTTACACCTTGGAATCATAATTTGACTTACAAATTCAGTGTCCTTATGCCATTTCAGTTTTAGATAGCTATTTAAAGAAATGGAAAAAACTTCTAAAATTATACCTTATTAAACCAAGTATGCTTTGAAGTTTATATATTATATTGTGTGTTTTATATATGTATATATGTTTATGTGAAAATGCTATATAAGGCATATGTGAATATTTTTCAGTATTTTTATGATTACTGAATACAACACATTATTTAGTACTGCTAGAGATTGTAGAAGAGGAATTGCTCTGGCAGCAAAAAGAAGAAAATAATGAATTTGCTTGAATTTGGGGGAGGGTTCTTAGGACATCAGTTTTGAAATCTTGGGGATTTAGCGGCATGGGGGTAGAATCTTACATAGCTAGGACATATCTGAGGGTTGTCTAACTCAACCAGAAATCACAGTCCAAAACTGTAATTTTAGGACAGAAAGAGAAATGAACAAAAGACCTGGAATGGAGCCTACAAGAGACTCATGGACAGGCATAGCTCATGCTAGATAAAAATCATGAAGGATGTATAAGGGAAATGAATCTCAATTCAATTTACACTTATATGACATATTCAGTTATAATTTTAAGACTCATTTTTGCCCCATTAAAATTGTTCACTTATTTTGTCCTTAAAGTTTTGTAGTCCATTACAAGTTAAACAAGGGAAGTACACTCACTTGGGTTGTCACAACTCTACTAATTTTAAAGTAAATAATCATCTAGCTATCTTAAAGATGAGAAATAATTGGCATGTAAGAATATGTTTTATAGGGTTTTGTTTTAGTAGAGGAGTTACTGAAACATGAAATTTAAATTTCTAAATGTAAAGAAGTAGACCAAGTGAATACCTTTCTTCAGTCTAGATGTGAGTGATGAAGGAAGACATGCATAGTGTTTATGAGATAGAACACTGTAGAGAATTCTGTTTCTTCACAATGGTGTTTAATAATGTGCTTATGAGTGAAAAAAGCAAAACCTCTTATAAAATGTATACATCTGTGTGTTTTCAATTATCTATCAGATTTTAGACTTTTCTTTGACTACCGTCTTTCTGACCTTTCAAAATAGCTCCTTGTATCATGTGAATATGGGACAGAATTCACACAGACACAGGTATAATAATCCTACACATGGACAATAACATTTTTTCCTGATCCTGTCTGGTGGGGAGGGTATATATGCCACTTTATAACCACCATCAGAAACGACTAACCAGAATGATTTTGTGTATGTGTCTGTGTGTGTACAGCCACAACTCCTTCAGGAGACACCTACCAAGGCAAATGAACGTCTCCAGTGTTGACTTTAGCATGGGCACTGAATCTGTTTTACAAAGAGGAGAAACAAGGACCAGCATCGGGAGGATCAAACCAGAGCTCTATAAGCAGAAATCAGTTGACTCCGAGGGCAACAGAAAAGATGATGTCAAAACCTGTGGGAAACTTAACTTTACGCTCCAGTATGATTATGAAAATGAACTCCTCGTTGTTAATATTATCAAAGCTTTAGATCTCCCAGCTAAAGATTTTACAGGGACTTCTGATCCTTATGTGAAGATCTATCTTCTTCCAGACAGGAAAAAGAAATTTCAGACGCGCGTCCACAGGAAGACATTAAACCCTCTGTTTGATGAGATATTTCAGTTCCCAGTGGCCTATGATCAGCTAAGCAACCGGAAACTACACTTTAGCATATATGATTTTGACAGATTTTCCAGACACGACATGATTGGGGAAGTTATTCTTGATAATTTATTTGAAGTCTCTGATCTCTCCAGGGAAGCCACAGTATGGAAAGATATCCACTGTGCAACCATGGTAAGCAATAAATCTGTCAACTTCTTTTTGACTTCTGGTGATATTAAAGACAAACCATTGCCCATATTATTAGAGTAAACTCTATAAAGCTGTAGAATTTAAACCCCAAGTTCCTGCAAAGGTGTTATTTGATTATATAGCAATATAACTTGGGTACCTAATACAGCATAGGAAACATATGCAAGTATAAAAGCAAAGCAGCTTTTACAGGTTACTCCAAATTGTAAGACATTTTTTTTCACAAAATACTTATGTATAACCTATTCCCAGTACCAGTTTCTCCATAGATGATGCTGAATTTCATTATCGAAAGTGATTTTGTTTCACAGGTCAAACCTGAGATGTACACTGATGCAATGTGGTTTGATCTGAAAAAGCCCATGACTTTAGACTCTTCCATGGAATGCACATAGTTACAGTACATGGGATTCTAAAGGATCAAAAGATAATTCTCCATATTAGGATTATTTTTTCACGACGTGTTACATAATAATACCAACCAGTTACATAATAACACCGACTATAGCATTGAAAATTTTAAAAGCAGTAAAACCATAATAGAAGCAAAGCAATTAACAATACTACTAATTAAATAAATGTTTGGGGTATTACTTGATTTCCTATTTCTGCTCTGAATACATTAAAGTAATTGTGAATTTTTACACTGAATTTTTACTTTCTCACTCATTTGGTTCCATGCTAATTTGTTTCAGTCGTGATCTTAATTATTTTAAGTTTTTAAACTATGTGTGTGTATATGCATGAGTGCATGTTGACTACATAATACACGATATCTCAATATGTTGCCCATTTACTTAGCCATTTTCTTGTTATGCACTTCAATGAAGCATAAATTTTGTTTTTAAAAATGTAACTTTTTTCACTATTATAAGGCTGTGTGTCTGCCACAGAATTACAAACCAGGAATTAGGGAATTGCTCTCAGGTTAGATTATTAACTTGATTTGCTAATTCTAAAGTCTGACAATTTTACTTTTTACCAAAGCATTGTCTTGATATATTTATCACTTTATCTTGACATTTATTTTCCAACTCAGTATTTGCCAAGTATTATTTGCAAGTGTTATGTAAAAGAGTTGACCTTGACTTGAAAAATAAAAGGAATATCTTGTTCCTGGTATCAGCCATTGGAGTGCTGAACTGATCTTCCAACTGAATATAAATAAATACATTTTGCCTTTTATTATTAAATGTCTTTGAGTACTTAAATCTTTTAAAATGAATTTTCCCATTTCTGGCACTATATTCTTCATTTTACCTTCAGTTTACTACATCTATCACAGGGTCAGAGTGATTCCATTTTTAAAATTAATGAATTTTCTTCTAGACTTTAACTATGAGATTGTATGTTCACTGATACAATTTTCAAAATGACCAAACTCCAATTTCCTTTTAAGTCCAAATATGAAAGGTTGGTGACTGAGGTGTTTGTCTCATCATTCAACCAGGAGAACGGTAGACAGTATTACTGGCACTGGCCACAGGTTAGCAAAAATTCCTCCATCCCGCTAATTTCTATTAGTCATGAAAACTGGAACTCACCCTGACAGCAGAGAAAATTAAACTTGAGATAAGACTCAGTTGGCTGGGTGTTTGCTTTGTGTGCCCATAGCCCAAAATTTAATTTCCAGCATCTTCTAACTGAGAGTGGTGGCACATACCTGTAATCTCTGAGAAATAAAGACAGAAGGATCAGTAGTTCAAAGACATCTTTTGATATATAGAAAACAGAATGAGGCCCTGTCTCACAAAACAGGAAAACAAGCAAACAACACCAGAACCCAGAAAATCCACGTTCCTTAGGTCCTCCAAAGAGCAGGCATACAGCCAATGTTATCAATGCCATTCAAATGGTATTGAATGACAATTTGAATTGCCCTGGAAATGCTTCCCGCATGACCTGGTCCTTGTCCATCCTCCAATGCCAGAGCCTCCTGGGATGCTTTCACTGCTGCAAGCCACTTACTTCACTTTTCCTCAGATTATTTGTCACCCTCCCTTGAAAATTAGAAACATTGCAAAGAATTAGGTAGGCTTTTATTTAATCATTGTTCTAATATTTAAAAACCCCCCAAATCCCTAAGATGCTTTAAGATGATAAAGACCTGCGTTTTTATTCTGTGTTGTCCCCTAATTAATTGTGTGACATTTTGAAAGGTCAAGATACTCGTTCAGAATCAGCTGTAAGAACCATAGGAGACAGCATTTATCTTGATCGCTAGTGTCTCCATGACCAGCCAGGTGCCTGATGTTTGGGGGTATGCTCACTAAATGTGAGCATGGTGATGGATGAACTAATCTTTAAAGATTGATAAGGTATTTGATACAGTTGGAATCAGAGTTTGGGAACTGTGAGAGGAAAATAAGAAATTCATGATGATAATAATAATAAAACAAACTTTTAGGGGCCTGTGTGTGTCGTGAAGTGTGGACTTTATGTTGTAAGATCTCTGTAAGAAACACACCAGATTCCTTTGAGGGTTTTAGCAGAACCAAGTGATACTGGAGTTGTTGAAGGTCAGAGCCTGAATGAAACTGGATAGCCCCAATAAGCTATGTTCGGCCAGCTATACTTGGTAAACCAACTAAGCAAACAGGAAATAGTAAAAAAGAAGTAAAGGCAGATTCAAAGTGGCCAGACTGGGGAAAGGAATAAAAAAAAATTCAGTGACACCATCTTCCCCCACTTTGCCAACTCCATCTTCAGGATTCTGACATGATGGTAAATTTTAAATTGAAGGAAGAGAGATATGCATAACTAAGCAGTCTTGGTTCTGCCCAACTTTGACCCAATCAGTCTCCCCTGCCGGGCAAGGTAGAGTGTACCATTTCCTTGCAGGAGGTAAGCTTCCTCTCTCTGGAAGGAACCAGGATTCTGCCTTTTCCTTTTTCCCAGCATTAGATTTCTTGGAGAGAAATTCCAAGTCCCTGGGTGCCTTGTTTCAATAGTTCCAGTTGTTAGTATGAGGGACACCAGATCTCTTTAGAATGTCCTTATTCCTTCCAGGCATCCTAATTATACAAGCACAATATAAATAACACTGTACAGCTATTAACCTTTATGGCTTTCCTCATTAGTCTTCACTTAAATGAACCTAGATGCTGACTGATGTGAGAATTCCCACCTCCAGCACATTTTATAGCAATTGAAGTGATAGCTTTGTTTTGTGACCACTTTTTCTTCTCTTTGAGCTTGTTAATACCAATTGATCCTTTGTGGGCTTTTTCTGACTCTCCACCTGCTATAGCAAACTAGCCTGAAACTGTTGTTCTGACATTAATTATTTTTATTTTAGTATATTTATTTTATGTGTGCAGGTTTTTTGCCTGCATGTAAGTCTGTGCACAGTGTGTGTGTGCCTGGTATCTGTGGTGGATCAGAACAGGATGTGAAATCTTTTGAGACTGGAGTTGCAGGTGCTGGGAATTAAACCCTGGTCCTCTGGAAGAGCAACCAGTTCTTACCTGCTGAGCCATTTCTCCAGCCCCAGGTTGAAATGTTCAGAGCTTGCTTCAACTAGATATCTTCCAATGCCTCAATTTTACTAGTGCTTACAGTTAAACACATTGAGCTGGAAAACAAATTATTTCACCTTATTGAACACCTTAATAATATACCAAGGACAGAGAGGCTAAGTAAGGGTAGGTGGATTGCTGAAGATTAAATTCCATGATTTGTGTCGAGAAAAACATACCAAAATTTTATAGGTCTTTGAATCCAGTACACCATTCTGATTTTCACTGTGAATTCCTTGGAGGTGGACAAAAGACTAGCAATTTGATAAAGGAGATCACTTAAGCTACTTAGTAGCACATCTTGCTTTTAGCAGTATATACTACAGAAAACCATCTGTTTTCTTACCCTCAAGGAAATGTGGAAGGCAGGCTACATTTAGGGTGCTAAGTAGACGTGATGACTGCTGTAACCATAGAAACCAGTGGCTTTTTGAGGTTTTTTTTTTCAATAAGTCTTCATTAGTCTACTTCCCAATATATCCTTGAATTCAGAGACTTTTCCTCAGCAAACACCCCCATTCCTATTTCACTTGATTTCCCTCTTCTCTCCCTCCAAACCTAGGTCACAAAAGATAAACATGGATTGCAAATAGTATTGCTATCGTTATTGCATTCTGTGTATCTGATGTCATAAAGTGCTTGTGTGACCCTGTAAGGTAAAAGTCACTCCCATTTTACTTCGATTAAGCCCAACTTTAAGGAGGTCAAGCTTTTTGCTTTTATGTTTGGGGATTAATACATGGAAGATGTACAGTTTTTGTTGGTGTCTGTGTACATATCCATACATGCGTGTAGCTAGATTTGCATGTGTGTTAGCATGCATGTAAAGTCTGAGGTGGGCTGTCTTCTTCAATCATTCTCCACCAGGTTTTTGGGACAGTGTGACTTGCTGGAGCTAGAGATCAGCAGTTTGGCAAAACCGCCTGGTCAATGAGCTCCAGAGATGCCCATGGCTTTACTTCGATAGAACTGGGATTACAGGTGTGCACTGCCCCACCCAGCTTTTGTATGGATGTTCTAGTGTTGGGGATGGAACACAGGTCTTCTTCCTCAGATGGCAATCACTATTGTAATTGGCTCATCTCACTGGTCCTGAAGATTTATAGTTTCGTCTCCATCGTTTCTGACTCAGTCCTTTCTACCTTGCCAGGCTTCTGCTCTTCCAGTGCACTAACACCTTTGGATCCTAAGCCTCAGTGAACACCACGACATCTCTTTTTCCCATACATACTACTCATTCTTGTTTTTGAATACTTATCATGGTACTCATATATACAATTACATATATATGTATATATTATATTATACTTTCTATTCTTCATGAAACCTCATCACTTTAATTCATTAAACCCATATAAAATGATGTTACAGCCAAGACAAAAAAAATTAAGTATGCAAACACTTTCATCAGCCTCATGTAGGTAGTTTTGGACTGTCCTACTAGTCCAATTCCAAATTACCACA